TGTGACATAATTCAAAATCTTACATTTTGAGGGGCGTTTAAATCTTTAGTTACTTTGATGAAACAAGTAACTGTTTGGATCTTTACATTTTCTTGAGAAATCTGTGGGAAATAACTTTTAGATAGTTGAAATGATTTTGAATATAAAGTTGTTCTTCCATTGTCATATCATACCTATTTCATAATTCAACTTTAAAAAAAAAATCATATTCAATCTTTTTCATTCTATTCGCATTAGGCATGTACATTCACAAATTCTTTGAAAGAACTCTTGAAAGTCGTTAAGGAGGAGTAAGAAATAGAGTCCTGAATATTCAAAGTAATAAGAAAAATAAAAAAGAATCACAGTAAAATAAACCGCAGTTTAAAAGAATTCGATACGCCTTATGCACTTCTGTTTCTGGTTATCAAAGAACTTCGGGATATTTAATCATCGAAAATCTTTGGTAAACTTATATTTTAATGTTAAAAAATTATTATAAAAACATTCAGGAAATTTGTATTTATAATCGGTAATCTCAATATCATCAGCATCGCCATAAATTTATACGAATATTATTATATTTCCTATATGAACTTACATGCTCGGCTTCTATTATCACTTTGATCGCTTATCAAGATCGTTGTTCTCATCATCGTCATCATCATCATCACCATTACTATATCAATGTGTGTATATTTTTTCTGTAGTTTACATATATACACGCGTTGGCTCATAATCCCATTTTCTATCATTTCGCAGAAGTATATAGATGTCCGAACAAGTTGTTGTAACATTCATGATATAATATTTGCATATCATGATTCCATTTTCAAGATGTTATTTTACAGCAATTTTTCCTCTCTGACTGTTCAAAAAGGTGGCGTCAACAAATTGTTCACACTTTTTCTTTTCAAAGTTCCGTTTAATCTTAAATTGTGTAACATTTCGAGTATACCAACTCACTTATTAATTAATTTTCTTCATGGATATGCAAGCTTAGATTTTGAGCATTCTCTATACTGATGTCAAAGAAAAAAATGTATGGTTACATTGCTGTTTATGTATACTTTAAGGCTGGATGCCATTTCGTGTGGGTTATTGATATAGGAGGGCACGTTTTTCTACAGGATACCGAATCTTCGTCGATTTCTCAGAAGTTGTCAACTTGTTCCTCCATCCTGTCGATATTGTATGGAAGAAAAAGAAAGAAGAAACAAGAAGAAGAAATACCGGGAGTATAACTAAACGACTAAATGGATACCTATTATCCCTCTCTTAAACTTTTGCATTTCCTTGATTCTATGTGTGTTGTATTACAATCTACCCGAGGTGTTTAAGGAATTAGAGGGGGCCGCATAGTCATTATCATGGTATATTGGTGATTTAAATACAACTTAAAGCAAAATCTCCGAATGCGTGTTTGCGACTTTCAATTAGGCGGCGATTGTAAGGAATCTTGGACACTGTTCATTCGTTGTTTAATCGGAATGATAGGGTGTGGATACTTAAAACTGTGAAGAGAGAGGGAGAAGGTGTGCTGGGAGAGAGAGAGAGAGAGAGAGAGAGAGAGAGAGAGAGAGAGAGAGCATGTGAACCCTAGATGATTTTGTTAGTATATATTTATTTCATCTTGGAAACTGTTCATTCGTTGTTTAATCGGAATGATAGGGTGTGGATACTTAAAATTGTGAAGAGAGAGGGAGAAGGAGTGCTGTGAGAGAGAGAGAGAGAGAGAGAGAGAGAGAGAGAGAGAGAGAGAAATAGAGAGATGGAAAGACAGAAAAGAGAGAGAGAGAGAGAGCATGTGAACCCTAGATAATTTTGCTAGTATATAATTTTATTTCATCTTGTTCATAGAGACTTTGTAAGTTTATTTTTCTGTCTGTCGTATTGTGTCTCACTTTTTGTTTTTCCTACTATCAATCCTCACCAATATCTCCTTCTCTTTCTCTTTCTTTGTTTCTTTCTTTCTTTTTACTGACTTTATAATCTACCCTGTCACTTTATCTCTCACTTGCCTCTTTCTATTTTATTTATCAAAAAACGTCATTGCATATTTTAATAATCTTCTACTTTTCTCTCTGCATATTTTATCTGTTTTTCCCCTCTCAATTTGTTTCATTAATTTTTAACCTTTTTTAAATTTTCTCCTTGTTTTAAATATCTTGCTGTATTTCACCGTGGCCAATACACCGATGTTATGAAGGACATGATAAGATTAAATTTAAAATAAGCTTTACCTCATGAAAGTAAATTTTGATCTTTAAGTTAACCACAAAAAAAAAAGAAGAGGGATAAAAGGCAAATGAAAACTTAACTAATTAAACAAAATAAAAACAAGCAAGCATACGGCTGTTACCAGGGTTCGTCATTTACCAATGTGAGGTATTGAGATATATAAGTTTAAGAAAGAGATTTCTGACACCAAAAAGCTGTATTACAAGACAGATTTTGTAAGCGTTGGTTTTGATAATAATTAGACTTACATTTATAGTTATCTACAATTTTTATGACCACTGTGGTCATGGTTATCTTCTACTTGCACTTATAAAACTGAATAAGAACGTTATATATTAACACTCTATGTTAGCTGAGTAAACATTTACGATCAGTTTCAGAGGCTGATAGAGATAGATTCGTAATCCAGTTATATCACCTAATTTAAGTGATTTTACATGCGATTTTTTTATTTTCTATTCGGTTTCCCAAAGAAGTAAATCACAAAATAAATGTTTATCTTATTTTTATTTTCATGGATAATGAACATGATCTGTATGGTGATGCTAGTCTTCAGTGAATGATAATTATGCCCCAAACGCAACAGGGAACAAAGGAATATCATACAAAATGTGACGTCAAAATCTAGTTTTTTATGATGTTTGGGTATTACCAGGATTTGTGGTAATCACCCTGACATAATCATTAGAAAAGACATATATTTCTTAATAAAATGTTGTTACTTATATAGGATACTATCCTAGACTAGTCAGAACTTTACAACAACAAAAGAGTAGTGTGGGCCTAATATGGAAACATTAAAAAGTAAAACAACACAATTTTCTTTATAAGAAAGAACGATCTTTAGTTGTAACCAATTATATAGACACAAAATGAATACATTCACAAGAGAAAAGATGAAAATTAGACCCGCTCGAAAAAGAAAACATGGAGAGAAAAGAAAGTAGGAGCAACGGAGAAAGTAATCTCCATAATAAAATAGTAAAAATCATTAACATCTGTCCAAAAGATAGCACTTTCGTCATCATGAAATATATTTTCTTTTCCTTTTCTTTCATTAAAGGGCACTGTCCGACGACCCCGTTAGCGAACGATCGGTTTTTGCCTGACTTTAGTTGACTATCATTACAATGAATAATAAATAATTAGGGCAATTAGATTCCTTACGTAAATCTTTGGATTTACTTTCTTTTCTTGACAACAGATAACCCATGGGGTTCGTCGGGGCAAGATAGATGGCGAAATGAGGATGTAAGAGGACCAGCATTGCCCCCTCTGACATTCTGAATAGGGTTGAGTAATTTGGTTAAGCCGGTTAGATGCATGGTCCGTCGTCGTGTTTATCTGTTCATTATTCGCTCGTTTTTGTTACTTAGAACGATATATTACGTTATCTGTATGGCGGCTCCGGCTCTGCCCTCAAAAAGCGCAAGATACTTTATTTTCGATCAATGCATAATAGCCGAGATAATGCAATTACTAATGAGCGCTAGGAATTAGCGTGGTTCGCCTGATTACCAAGTATGCACTTTGTCATGTCACCACTGTACCCGTGTAAAGTCTCTTTAAAAAAGTATTTTTCTCTCGCTCCGCTTCTCTTCTTTCAGTTTGTCGGCACCGTTAATTGCTGTGTATATGGGTATTCGTTGTCGCATAAAGTTTTAAGAGAGAGAGAGAGAGAGAGAGAGAAGTTGGGGGGGGGGGAGGAAAGATGGGAGGGAGGAAGAGGAGGTAAATCCAAAATAGAAAAGAAAAGGAAAAACAACAAACCGACGTGAGATGCTGGAAAAAAGAGAGAAGAAAAACTGAGAGGAAAAAGAAAATCAATAGGCCAACTCACCGCTCTTTATAAATCTATATATCGAGAACATAATTAATATTAGGCGTTTATTTCATGACCCAATACCAAATATGACATTTTCAGGTTCTACACTATTTTCATGTTTCTGTACCCTAACACTGATGACCAAACCAGACATCTTTTTTTGCAACAATCCCGCACCCATTGATCGAAATACGACAAATAAAACTGAGAAATATTCATCGCCAAATTCTATCTGATTCATATTCTCGCGAAGTTCCCCCCGCACTTGTCATTGTTTGTGTATGAAATGATTTTTATGTATACAAACAAGGTTCATGAGCGATGGCGCCTGCCCCCAACGATGGAAGATGAGTCAATAATTGCTGTACAGCATACTGTGTGTGTATGGAACACACACACGCACAAATTCCCTGGGCAGCTATCTAAGCCTGTTGTCGGAGCTAATCACTGACAACTTTTGTCACAGCCCATTGGTCGCATTTATGCAGCTTTCTTTAACCACCACGATCATTATACCTCCCTTTCTCCCTTCCTTCACTTTCTCTCCCCCTCTCTTCATTTAAAGCACAGAACAGACCAGCTTGTCTTTGTGAAGCTTTCTCTATTTTGATTGATAAATTGACAGAAAGGGTTTGCGATCTCAGGCGCCACTACTCAACTCTTTGAACACTTCACTGAGCCCGCCCCCTGCCTTCGTTAACTCGCGAGCAGTCGCTATCCAAACTTTGATGCAGGTGGATTGTCTGAACGCCGGAGTTTTAGGGAGCGCATCCCTTGTTCTGACTTCCAACTAAGGAGGGTGACTAAATCAGTTCTCTCTATACTAAGACGACGAAAAGACTGAATTTGACCGACCTAGAGTTTCAGCTAGCGAAATGTCTACCTTTTAAATTCCTCTGTTTTTTTTTATTTGTGCAAGTATTGACTATTGTACGAACAGATAGAGACAAAATACTGGAAATGCTAGCTTGTATTTGAATGTATTAATGATTTGAATTCGTCGTTTGAAGGTTGAAGTTATCGGAGAAGTATCACTTTTGGCTCTTTCAAACATTTTGATCGTTATCTATGGACAGTAGCCGTGAACTATCAGGAGAGGAACCCAGATCTCCATCTCCACGCCACGAAACGAGCAAGATGCGTCTATCACCTGACCGACCCAGTCATCACCCAGCCCGACCCCCCGCATCTCTGGCGTCGCAACCACTCCGCCCTGCTCATTATCAAGACGACGATGATAGCTACCGTACACACACCCCGCCACCGAGCCAACCGAGAACGAAGGGCTTCAGCATCGAGAGCATTCTCTCACCGACGGACAAGCATCGGAAGTCGCGGAGATCACCCCCGATGTCGCCATCCAGTCCGTCGATGTCCAGCAATGGGTACAGTGAAGGGCCCATATACGGCTCCACTCGACACCCACTATCGGCGACCGTTCCGGGGTTGGGACGGGCGGCGTTGGATGAGCTTGCCGCTCACCGAGCAGCGGCTCTCCATATCCCTTCTGCCGCACTCCCCTTCTCTCACCTAGCGCACAACCCTGCCTTTTATGCCTGGATGCACGGGGCATCCTTCTTGCATTATCACGGTAAGTTACAGCTCTAATATCTATACCCTTCTCCAAAACCAGTGATTCCCTCTATTCCCTCTATTTTTTTTCTCTTTAAGTACATTTCATTAATTATAGTGGAAATAACAATATCATTAAGAAACAAAAATAAATAGGGAGCCTAGAGTAAATAGATGGACATTTTTGCATCATTGGGGTCTGTGTACCGAGAAAAGGCCCAATTTGCAGAGTGAAATATTAACACAAATAGGAATACATTCTTAATAGTTGCCTTGTAAAAACTCATTCAGATATCTCTTTACTTTCTGTTAATTTATAGGCTGATTAACTTCGCTTACTAACCTTCGACTAACTTAATTGCCTGTTCTGTAACTTCTGTTATTTAGTTTGCATTCACGCACAGAGATACAATTAACAACAACGAGAACAACAACAATACATAATGAAATATTGAGCATATTTTTATTTATATACCCCGAAATATCGTTAGTATAATCTGCATAAAAATGTTATTTGTGTGTACATGTAAGTCGTAATTGTTGAATATATGCGCGCGATATCCACTTTTGCATCGTTATAATTTTTCATGAGAAAATGCTTTCTAAAAATGATGAATCAGCAAATATTCGAACGAAAATGACACAGTGTTTAAACAGCAGAAAAGGATGTGAATTATGACATTTGAAATTTAAATATAAGAAGGAATGAACTAACATCACATAATACAGATTTTGTAAACTTTAACAGGGACTATTTATGATATTGAATTAACAATTATTCACACATAATCATGAAAATTGAGTGAAAGTATAAAACTCAAAACCTTCTTTATCAATTTTACAAACTAATCGTGCAATTTATCAAACTTTTGTCGACAAAGTAAATGCACAATCTCCACGGGACAATCTAGACACGTCCTAAGAAGCATTTTAGAAAACTTTCGCAGGTAATGAGTTTTGACAAGTTTCACATCAATTGTTTCGCAAAACACAATTTGCATGATTCATGTATTCTTTCTATGTGTATTGCAAGTACTTACTTTCTGCAGATTTTATAGCCTACGCAGAAAGTGCTATATTTCCCATTCGATATCTAACAACCTCTGTATGAGAAACCTTTAATAGGCTATCAGCAAATGTTATGGTTTGCGTAGGTAGAGCTACTTGTTACGAGTTGATATTTGTTATTAATATGCGACTATGTACCTTATTATAAAATTGAAGAGAGGATTTATCGGCAAAATAAGCCGATACTCAAAACTATTAAACCTAAGTGAAATAGAAATGTATATGTCATGAAAACGCATTGTCAAATCTTGAACCTAAATGGCTTTGTTTTCCCAGTCGTTCGTATTTTTTGTTATATTCAAGATATTATTGTCTTTGTCAGTTTTATGAGAATAGGTGATATATTATAGGATTTTATATATAATTCATCATTTCTATCCACGCCGGATTTTTGTTGTTATTCTCTTCAATTTTATTTTCTGTTCTCTCTTTCTTTGGTAAAAATATATTTTGCAAGGGAAATAATTTAGTAAGTTGAGTATCTCTTCTTACCAAAGCCGCCCACAACGTCAATCCGCTATTTTGTATTTCGTATTTTATTTTATTTATTTAGTTAATTGATAATTTCATCATTTTTTGTTCTTTGGAGATGGCATTATTCTCTCTTCGCCCCTTTCTGTCCAAGGGCTACAGGGCCGTATGAATTTTAGGGTATGATATAAACGTATTTTCATATTCTATTATTAGCGAAGGAGTGATGATGAACTCAAAGTGTTAACGAATTCTATACTTTTCCTTTTTAATTTGTAATGTAATACCCAAAATACCTCTTTCACGTTATCGTTTTTTGTTTTTATAACAACACATTTCCAATATTTGTCCAATATTGGTATAGATATGTAAAGTACTGGTCTTATCTTGACTTGAAATTATTCTGATATATTTTTTGGGGAGGTAAATAAATTGACCCCAAAAATATATATGCATCTTTTTCCTTCTATTCTCTGGATTTCCTTTTTAATGAAGCGAACAACATTATGTAGGCTTGTACTCGGCTATTGATCAAAGTGTAAGACATCAAATTATTTGATTGTATAATTACCAATTTCATCATGTTGAATATATATCAAATGAACAATTATTTCCATTAATTTCAGCGATGAATGTGAGGACCACAAACTCCTTTTTGCAGTAATTGCACCGGGGAATATCGAGAAAGACAAGGGTTTAGTTAGGATCACTGGGAAAGAGAAATTACACAGATTTCTTACTCTCTAACAACCTCTCAGATACATGTTCACGATTATATGTTGGGCAGTCCTTTTTAAACATTGTTTGATTACCAACATTGGATGTTCCTAATTTTTTAGGAAAAATTTTGTGAAAAAAAAAAGTTTTGAGGTGTTTTAAAAATATAATGTGGATCATTGAAACATGGCAATTAACCTTTGCATACATATCACTTAACGATTTGTTTCTTGCTTTTCTTTTTAAAAATTAGGTTTTGAGAATAGCTCTGAATTTTATGCCCATCACTATTAATTTAACGACCACGTCATACGTGGCCCTAACATCCTCCCTCGTTAGATGATCTTTTCAATTCTCAATATGGGCAGTGTCGAATAACTCTAATTCGTGGCAGCTAGTGGTCCCGAATTCTATCAATTTCTTGGATTATTTTCCCCTCTATTCTTCAATCTTGTTGAATCCCTTAGCAAGCACAATGCGTTTAATCGCGGTCTGAATATGACATTCCTAGCTCTTTAGTAGCCCTTTTGTATTCGTTAATTGCTCTTTAAGCATTTGACCCACACCGCGTCCTGCAGCAGCATCTCACCCCCGCTCATCCTTTCTTTCTTTCGTCGAAAAGGGTGAATTAAAAGTATTCAGATAATTCTATTCAACTTCAATTTCTATAAGAGCTTTTCTGTTCTTTTCTCTAATTCGCTCCTTTGCCTTACTTAAAGCTGGCATGGCTTCAAAAGCAAATAAAAAGGTCGAGGTTGGCAAACCTCGTTGGACAAGGAACTTGATGACTCCTATATGAACATGGAATTTTTACTTCATTATTTGGGAAGGCTTTCTTTTGACAAAAAACATGGGTACAGCTTGGAATGACATAGACTATCTAATAATAATATGATATAAAAAACAATATCAAATAGGGTTAGGGATAGGGTTAGGGTACTCTAGGGTTAGGGTTAGGGTTAGATTTTAGGTGGCTGTCGCAAAAGGAAATCTTTCCCATTATTTCGTTTATATGCAAAACTTATTAACCGCTCTGCAACCATGTAAATTAATTCTATTTTATATGAATGGCTCGGTGCAGCTGTTGAGGAACATGGCAGTTGAATATGTCATTGGGGTCAAATTCATCTCCCCTGGATGCTAACATTTTCTTGAGATTCGTCTAAACTTTTTGTTTTAATTCATAATGAATCCACACAAAAGGGAAATTAGAGACGGATCCAGTATTCTCATGCAGAAAGCACCCAGTCCAAAAAACACATCTGACCATCAAAATCAAAATAAGACCTTACAGTACTTCAATTGCTACGTTTTGTCCACAGTTTCTGACAACCAAAAAACAAAACAAGAAAAAAAAATACAAAAAATATTCCAGGAGTCTTTTTAGGTAATTTTGTATAGTCAAGCTCTCGGGGAGGGACAGGCACAAGAACACCGTAATTTTAAGGGCTTTAATTCTTCTTTCGTGTATTTAAGGTATTTTAAATTCCTTTATGCCGGAATGGGGCATGTCACTTTGATTCAGTCTACTTGCATAGGCCGTTTCGACAAAATTGATTTACCGTGTTAAACTTTATTTTGGCATTTCCCTGAGAAAATTACTACAGAGAGACATGGATAAATATGGATGCTGCATTAATGTATGACTTCATTTTAATGATCCCGCTAAATGATACATCATTACTTTGGTAGAGAAGCCATTGCTATGACTACAATACAAAGAATCCACAAAATTGCTAAGTGACTTTATAGCCTTTTAATAACAACTACTTTACAGGCAAATTAAACAAATAAACGACAAAGACACATTGATCTAGTGACCTACACTACTTATGCATATTGATATTATGTTTATTATATTTATGGAAAGAATGCAACAAAACATTTGCTTACCTAAATAAAAAAAAAATCTTCAAATTTATAATAATAATAATAATAGTGGCGGATCATCAGTAACTTTTGATACTCCAAAATGTCTATACATTAATTGTTAAAAGTTATATCAATTAGACTAGTATTTGCAATTAAAGTTGTTTATTTAATTTGTAAAGTTCTGTCTTTAGAATTATTCTACTTCGCACATTGTTTTCACTTTCAGTGTTGTGAAAAATCGATAGATTGGGTGGTTTGTCGGAACTTGCCACAACTGCTTTGATTATGGTATTAAGTGTTTGCAATGAACTGAAAGAAATCGACTGCTTGATGGAGCCTCAAACTGCAATCGATCAGAGGTGAACTACGGTCTCTGAAATAAACAGCTTGTTCAACGGTGATAGTAAATAATAAATTGACTGCGTGCGTTCATTACCAATCATTCCAGTCTCTCTCTCTGGCTCTCTCTCTCTCTCTCTCTCTCTCTCTCTTTCTCTCTCTTCTTCACTCTTGTTCTCTTCCTCCCCTTCACGACCCTTCCCGTCTCTTGTTGTTCCGTCCCCTTGGATTGTAAAGGAGATGTAGAGACATCTCCTTATATCCCATCTCTCTTTGATTACTTTTGATTTTGATTACTTTTATGTTTGTAAGATTTGAGGTCAAAGTTATTTATCTATTAATTTATTTATTCAGTATTCTTTAAAAAACAAAAAGTAGCCCCATTTAGTGTAACAAGACCTGCTTCACAAGGGGCCCTGTATCAAGTGGATTTTACAATTTATAAAGTTAAAACGCAACGTAAAAAAAAACAAGGATAATATTTCAGTTTACCTGATATTATGGCGAGGGTAATTCAATAGAGAGTCTAATCACATGGTCTTTACCAATAAATTTTACAGCATTTAACAAGTTCAAATAAACTAATCAGGTCATTTAGTATCAAAGGCAATAGGTCATTACTAAATATACTTCATGACATTTAAGCCCAAACTTTACTTTTTTGTGAATATCTACTTCTTGTAACAACAACTTTACACCCAAAACTGCTGTTAAATTCATTGGTATAGTCCATGCGAACTCTCCCTTGAATTACACTTGCCATCATAACAGGTAAACTGAAACATATCCTTGTTCAAGATAAAGTCCTGCTATACGACTTCTTTTTTTCGTAATGGGTGGTATTATATCTTCATGAAATAGATGAATAAAATGATAAAATCTCCGCAGACGGTAAAGACACGAATTGGCAGAGTCCCACCGCTATGACTGGTTCACTCATCACATTACGGAAACCACTCAAGTTTAACCATTTCTAACGAATTGCATTCATTAATTTAAATATCGCCATGTCGGTAGTCTTTTCTTTTTCCTAATTACCCTTAACGCAACACACGCGCGTCGTTTTGCCTGCATATCCGCCCTTGGTAAAAACGCGCATAATCTCCACTTTCCGCGCCTTTAACTAAAGAACGATTTTTTTTTATTGAGGTGAATCGAAACTAAGGTGAAACGCCAGTAGGTTGAATCGTGTAAGCATTTCCGCCCACTTATCTTCAATTAGGGGAAGAAAGTGAACGTGTTTCCTGCTTTCACATTCAAACAAATAACTCGCTATGAGATGATGAACTCATCCTTAACTGCATGACTGAGGACTGGCCGAATGTGAAATGTCAGACTGATTTCTAAGGTTAGGAAACGCGGGAAGTACAGGCTTTAGTTTTTTGCTGTGCCCCCCCCCCCCCCCTCTGACTCCTCGCGATGGTGTCCATCATTTTCTTGTCATGCCTGAAGCAACTGTGAAAATAAAGCTCCTAAATGCATCCACATACCAAGTATACCTAGACGTATAGATGAGAACACAAAAAGAACATATAGGCCTAGGCCTATTTACGTTTGGCAGTTTTCCACTTAAATCTCCTTGACAAAGAAAGCATTATAAAGGAGTATTACATAAAAGTACTTTATATATTTTCGAACTTTGAAAATATGTTTTCCAAACATAAACCGATGCTACTATGAATATAGAAATGAATATTGCAACAAACCGAAATATACCTGCTAACTAAATATACACAAAATACAAAAAATACACCTTATTAAAGCATAAACCGAAGCTATTAAATACGATATCATGAAAAAGAAACATTACTAAATCACACATTTCCGTCCTATATTTAATTAAAAAGAAACATTACAAAAACAACCAAATTTTTAATTAAATTATGATTTAAAAAAAAGAGAAGAAAACTGTAGTACATGATTAATCAACCTACTACCTGGGGAAAATGCCATATATGCCTACAAATAGCAATTCAAAATAAGGCACAAGCCATTGAATTCAAAGAGCATGAAGTTTGGAATAGAAGCAAATTGAAGATCAGGAAGAACTTATTATTTATTTGGAGCAAAATGATGATAAAGAATAAAAAAGAAGGACATGATAATTATCATGCCCGTTTAACTTTCTTTTGAAGTAGGCTTGCGTCAGTAACTGACGTTGTATCTGACGCTAAATGAGAGAGAGAGAGAGAGAGAGAGAGACAGACAGACAGACAGAGAGACAGACAGATTGTATACAAGTGAATGCAGTACATTGCGTTAAGTTATTGGCGCATGCACTCGTTCCCTCATTGAATACACTATTATTAGCGCAGAAAATAACGCAATCAAAATGTGGCATCTTGTGCAGCTTGAATTATGATTATGTGGGTGTATCCCTTCATCACATCGTGTGATTTATTAGTTTTGCTTTTTTTTTACACGAGAAATGAAGCAAATATACGACGATGTTTGTAATTAAATCCTACTCTATTTATCAATCAGTCTTATAGAAAAAATACATCATTAGCTTGTATGAAAAATTTATAAAAGGAAAGATATACTTCGGGAAAACATATTTTATTGGTTTCTGCATGGTCGTTAGTTATAAAACTTAACTTAAGCGTTGCAATGTAACATTAATATGTTGTGCCACAGCCATTTGTTATGCCGATTTGCCCCAGAAAACGTTGACATAAATCGGTAAAAGCTCTATAATTTTTCCTTCCATGCATGATACATTGGCGGAAATACTTTAGTTTTTAAAGCATAATTCTTTAATGCACCAGTTATTGTTCGAACGGGCACAGATTTGACATCTACTCATCATCACTGACTCAAAGAAAGAAAAACCTAGAAAGAAGAAATGGGGTACCATTAATCGAAAGCTCTGCTTAAGACCCTCCTTGCGCTAGTTCATTTATAATGCATAACCGAGAACCGATAAAAACTCGATTCATCGCGAAACTTCGCAGAAAAATCCCATGTCGACAATACAAATGGCAGTCCCTAATAATACCATAGCCTAAACACTAGCGATGACAAAAATCAAATTTTCCATTAGAAAATAAAGGAACAACTAGTAGCTGTAATTTTGCTGGAAGTACGTTAAACCGACTGTAAATAATTTATTAGATTCGGGGATATCAGTCCGCGCTGATGAATTCTTTTAAACATTTAAACGAACTAATGAGGGCCATTAATTTTACGTTATTTCCCCTGCCAACAAAAAGTAGATATCTTCTTTAGGTACCTCTTTTCAAGAAACAAAAGAATTTCCATTTTTGTTACGGTTATCATTAAGGCGAGGACTATAATATTTGAAATGACCTGCATTTTGATCAACTCCCTCGAGTTCGAAAATCACCTAAAAAAAAACCTACTCCCATTTTTTATGAAATATAAGTCAGAGAGATTCCGTGAACGACATTAGTAGGAAGAATTGAACTCGATAACGACAAAATCAACCACCTGATAATTAGACAAGATTAAAGTGTCATGATTAGGATCGAACAGAAAACTTTCATTGGTTTGAGTAATCATAATGTGTAGGTTACACTTCTACCAAACTTCACATTTTGCATGCAAGCTTTCATCCTCTCCTGTTGACTTTCTCAAGCCAAGTGGTTTTTCTCTGAACTGCTGAATGAGTTTCTTCAACAGTGGAATACAAAAAAATCTTCATCTTCATATCGTATCTGCATGTAGGTTTATAACAACATATTTTAATTGCAACAAAAGAAGCAGAAGAAGAAAAAAAAACTAAAACAGTGGTGAAATTAAAAAAATCATATTGGAATACATGTAAATACATCAACCATTGACTGTAGTGAAAGTAAAGTCTTATTTTTATGCCACTGACGAAATCAATTAATGTTTATGTTTTTCCCTTTTTCTCTCGTTACAGGCATGCCGGCTTTCAACTCGCACCCACCGATAGCCCAGCCACTAACCAACAGTAGCCGTCTCGCTATGGCCAAGGATATCTCACCTCGACCAACTCAATCCCATAGCAGCTTCGGCGAGGAAGGCGGCGAGAAAGACAGTCGTGATCGCGAATCGCCCGATTCCGAACACCGTCGAAATAATGGACACGAAGAAGACGATGATGACGACGACGATCAATCGCCGCAAAAGAAGAAGAAAAAGACGAGAACTGTCTTTTCGCGAAGTCAGGTCTTTCAACTTGAATCGACGTTTGAAGTGAAGCGGTACCTGTCTAGTTCTGAGCGGGCTGGACTAGCAGCGAATCTTCACCTGACGGAGACCCAGGTCAAGATCTGGTTCCAGAACCGTCGCAACAAGTGGAAGCGACAGATGGCCGCCGAGCTGGAGTCGGCCAATCTGGCTCACGCCGCCCAGATACGCGCTCAGGCAAACCTCGCGCAGGTCAGCGCTGCGCATGCTCATGCGCATGCGCAGCGTATGGTCCGCGTACCTATACTCTATCACGAGAATCATCCCACCACGGGTTCGAGTCTGCACTCGCCTAACATCTTGCCTTTCCCGATGCCGTACCCCGGTTCGTATCATCAAATCAGCTCGTCAACATCGTCTACATCATCAGCGAGATCGCCCACGTCAACCAGTATTGTGACATGAAGTGTGACCCGTTGATAATGGAACAATGCTATTCGTATAAAGAAGGCAACTTTCCCGGATTCTATGTACCAGGGTCAAAGTTTATACGTGTTTTTACACGGGGGAAAAGGTTTAAAACGGCTAGTGGACTAGGAATGCTGCATCGATGAGTTGTAAAAGAACGCCAGTTTATTTGCTTGGTCACAGACAAGACCCAACATGAGACCGACATAAGACTAAACATTACCTTATATTACACCGAATCGGTCGGTTTGGACTCAGTTTTGAGTCGGTTTGGCGGAGCGACAGAGACTTGAAGTGTTGCATAGGTCAGTCTGCAGTCAGTCACTGTCCTTGTATGTAACTTTTATAATGATTGATATAGGGTCTACTTAATGTACAGTTACTTACCTCCCATGCGTACATACTCACCTCGAGTTCAGCAGAACGGTATCACAAGCACAGTTTGTACCTCATGTGTATTTTCAAATGGTCATGAATTAACATTAAATAGTTGATTTTGTGTAACTTTGGTCTGTCGACCTACCTAATTAAAACGTGAGGGCACATTTCTATTGTTGGCGCGACCGGGCAGATAAGTTAAGACATATTTATTTTTGACGCAACAAACATCCCTCCTTTAATCATTTGTTTATTTATTATTAAATGGAGAAACGTACATGGTGATTGCAAAGCCGGCTCGAGGCTTGCAAGACATTACAGCAAAGTTGATTTAATCAGTAAGCATATATGAAATATGATATTATATATAAAAGGTGAATTGAATAGTTCGTCGCAGCTATTTCTTCGAGTAAAAAAATCAGAACGTTAAGTACAGACTATATATATCGTTATCAACTGGTTTATTGAACTATCAGGTATCAGATGCATACATGCCGAATCCATGAGGGATTCGTGTACATTATAAACTTATAATTTCCGCCATTGTGAAAAATAATTCAGGCAGCATCGTCAGTTCAAAATATCTCAAATAAACCAAGAAAAAGAGATTGTTGTCTAATGTGTTAATGTTTCCTCGTCACTGTACAATTTTACTACCGCACAAATATTCAAGTATGCTTAGAAATCAAAATGATATTTTTACGAAACTTTAGTTATGTGTTAAAATCAGTATCCAGCGCCTTTTTAAAACGGCAATCGTTTTTTTCATTTACGAATGGAGGGGGGGGGGGGGGGAATTGTACATCCAGATTTAGTGTTCTAAGTCATGCATGAAGGCTTGGGTAAATTCAAATATAAAATTGTATTTATCACTTTTCTCGTGACCCGATGCTGTAAATTATCAAATTGCAATGTTTTGTGTACTATATGTTCTGTCAAAATATGATGTTTGTAATATAAAAGAGAATAATTGTAAATATTCAATGTTTCGTACGCCACGTGAATAAATTATCCTTACGATACTCGTTAAAACGGCAACTAAATGATTATTCAATTTTTTTTTGTGCGGGTTCAAAATTTCTCTTGATACTCTGTATATACCTGGTATTCATCTGAGTACACACTTTAGATTTCTCTACCTTTCTGTTTCTGTCTATATATATCGGGTCTGTCAGTTCCTCTCTTTCCTTATTTTTTAATTCGAAATAAGTAAGGAAGACATGAATCAGATTAAATATTACACTTGTCAGGGAACGATTAACAAATCATTGATAAAGAGATATATGTCTCTCAATTTTTTTCTTCTTCTTACTTAGTGATCGTTATTATTAGTTCGAGAGCATGATATTTCATAATACTTGTCATATCTAATATCTTAGGTGTAAATATTTCATCGGAATTATTTCTTTGTTATCGTATATATGGCAACACCTTAATCTTCACTCTTGACGCAGACGACATTGCCTGACACATTTTGTTCCATATTTTTTTCCGGGGGGGGGGGGAGGGGAAGTAATCATTTAGCTCCGTACTAAAACAACTCCTTAAATTTATTCCCATCTTTCTAATTTATGTCGATTAAGCTTTAAAAAACACAGAAGATGATACAAGAACAACACACATGCTTCTCTTTCCTTTCTCGGAGAATTCCTTGGGGTCTCCCTCTATTCATCTCCAACCCGGCGAATCATTTTGAGATTGCAGACCATCATTCCCGCCAATTTTACTCGCACAATTACTCTAATAGTTGGCAGACGATAACCGCTCATGACATAAATTTTCGTACAAGACGCGGGGAAGACAAAAAAAACCCACGCATGACCAATCAGTCGATCCACTCCCGATTAGAACGATTTGTAGAGACATGCAGGAAATGGATAGATAATAAAAGAGAGAAGAAGAGCGAGAGAAAGAGAGAGGGTCTGTCAGGGGAGAGACTGAGATAAATTGATAGAAAAAGTGATAGAGAAGGAGTAAAAGGGATAGAGAGAAAGACAGAGAGAGAGAAAGAAAGAGGGAGAGAAAGAAAGAGAGAGAGAGAAAGAAAGAGAGAGCGAAAGAAAGAGAGAGAAAGAGATAGAGATAAAGAAAGAGAGCAGGAGAGAGAGAGAGAGAGGGGGGGGGGGAGAGAGAAAGAGAGTGATAGAGATAAATAAAGAGAGAAAGAGAGAGGGGTAGGGTGACAGGAGCAGATGAATACAAACATGAATAAAAACAACAACTTGAAAATTACATCATCACACGTTATGACATTGTTCGATTATCGACAGTACAACAATACAAGTTAAGCTGGTGTTCCAAGCAAGGTAACCCCTGACGGACGCAGTTGAATAGAATGCTTTGAAAAGGAGTCTTCTTATTGCAATTCGATAGAAGGTTTATATCTGGTCAACATTTTGTAGGGCACTCACCTTATAAAACAAACCATCTTGTTAATGACATATAAATCTTCCAGTAGGCATAGTTAACGGATTAAATACCTTTTATCAGCGTATAATAGAAAGTAATATACTCGTACTCTATAATGCTATCAACATAAAACCGTATATACAGCAATAACCCCTACGTACAAGAAAAAGAGGTTCTCTTTCTAAAATATTTTTTTATAGATCTTTAGTTCTTATTTTTTATTTTTTTAAAGATAAGGACAAAGAGCAAAATAAGAGTAGCCTTTATTGATTGATAAGGTTGGTAATAAAATATGAGAAATATATCACGCTTAGTTGAAAAGGAGATGGAGAAAAGTAGAGAACTATGGAGCTAAAGATAATTACAAAGATAATAGGAAAATCAGTTGGCACACATGATGTTACCGAGTTCGCTCTTTTACCTGATAAAGGAAAAAACTTCCCAAAATTCGTGTACTAAATCAATGAACAGTTAGAAATTATAAAACATGAAACCTTTAATGGTTCTTATTTTTGTAGTTTTATTATCATTATCATCATAATTATTATTACTATATTGTTAGCAGAATTATAATGATGGTGATTATTACTAGTATTAACATCATTCTTCTTATTATTATTTTATATATATATAGAGAGAGAGAGAGAGAGAGAGAGAGAGAGAGAGAGAGAGAGAGAGAGAGAGGAGGTTATTAACAGAGAGCATAGAGGGACAGGGAGAGACATGGGGTGTCACAGAGAGAGAGAGAAAGATGGCAAGTGAGATATGACAAGCATTAAGTGCGTATAAAAATTCATGCCGACGGTTTGAGCAATCACGGAAATTGCGCCTAGAAATTGCCTAGTTATTTAAGTCATCATCATTCACCCAACCAAAATATGTATGTCCAATGTCAGCCAGCTACCGCAAGATTTATCCCCCCTTTGGGTTGTGGAGTGGTGTCTGATACCTGAAATGTTTTAGTGCCAATCTTCACAAATTGACGACGGATTCTCATCCGAAGCGAGCTCTTATACCTTTCTCTCCCCCACTCCCTCTCTTTCTCTCCCACCCTCTCTCTCTCCTTCTCTCTCTATATCTCTATACCACTTCCCCTCTCTCTCTCTTTCTCTCTCTCCCTCTCTTTCCCCTCTCTCTTCCTCTCCCAATGATTCTCTCTCCCTTTCTCTTCCCGAGGAAAAAAACAAAACTTTTACACAATAATGATTTTGTTCATGTTTGTTCGGCATCTGTCTCTCTTCTTTCTATCTTCTTTCTATATCGCAACAAAATGTTCTGCCTGTTCCCTTTTCCTCCCCGTCTTCATCGCCCACCCCCTTTCCCCTCTTTCTCTCTCTCTCTCTCTCTCTCTCTCAGCTAAGAGCATGTCAACGTAACCCCCAACCATGCATCATGCCCTTAATACCCATCAAAAACCACTCATTTCTAATTACTGGTAGCTATCATCTTTTGAGGTTTAGTTTGAAAACTTGATCCGTAGGGGAAGAAAAAAAACGGGTGAAAAGAGAAAAAAATTACGCCAATGAAAGATATTGCTCTGTCGACTGATGCGATTTGTTTTTTCTCCTTTTGGTACATCTGCTGTCGAGACATTGCGAGCTATCTGTCGTATATCCCATCTCAGGTATTGTTTATACTAAAAAGCTTTCGATGTTTCATTGTCGACATGTTTGATTTTGACCAAGGTGTGCCGTAGGTTATGAGATCCCGTCTAGCTGGCCCATTGTAAATGAGTAACCCTTCAGTGGGCATGAATCATCTAGCATTTAAAGTCTGAAATTTGTTGGAAAATTTAGACAATATAAAGACCTAAGTTTGATCAAATTATTATTTTTGTTTTTAATGTTATTCTTATGATTTGCTGAGTTATGACATGAATTTAGTACATGGAAATTATCATTTTCTTGTATAAACATTAGATGTCCTCTGTAGCTTTCCATAGTGAGTGAGTGAGTATTCACAATTTGAGGCTTTTGGTAACACCATGTGGAAGCCTCTCTGAAAAGTATGTTGAAATATTCTTTCGTCTAAAGAACCCGCTTATAAGGCGTTTGGAGGAGTTGTGGAAGAAGCATAAGAGAAAGAAAGTAAAAGTAATGATGGAATCGAGTTTTAGCGAACACTTACACGAGAATTTGTTTGTTTGTTTTTGGTGCTGTTTACACCAAAAATGAGATGATATGGAAGGAGGAAAAGAAAAGAAGAATAAAGGAATGACCGAGATTAAGAAAATTTGGAACAGATAACAGTTGAAAAGTAGTTATGAAAGAAAA